AACTCAAAAGCGAAACATACAGCATGGTCCAAAACCCGCATCCAAGCCTCCCATTCCAATTCGCCAACTCGCCAACTGACGATATTTCCACTCTGATCCCTTATCGGCGACCGATTCGCTGCTCCTACAAATGATCAAAACTGCCACAGACTCAGGAGAAAGGATGACTTTCATCAAATACTTCCTAGACTCGTCTTCATTTTTTTTTTGATGCACAAATGATGTTTTCGTTCCCACATTCATAGAAAGCCACGACAAGTCATGTCCTAGCTTCTTATAAATCCACAAATGACTTCTGTTGAGAAGATTGCACGCTTGGAAAGTGAGGTTTGCCTAGCATGTCGGATCACAAAGTAAAAAATATTCATACAGCTTACCTTCAGAAGCACGAGCGGTTTTGTAAGCCTTTTCAATCGCTTTTTCATCTGGTATGACAAGGTTTTCAATTCCCGCCCTTGCAGCTCGAATCTGGAACTTCAACAATTATATACGTGATTATAAACAACCGATATGTCGTCTAGCAGATGACCGTACACACCAATCTACCATGACCCTTAAACTTTCAAAAACGAAGACGAAAAGAGAAACTAGAAAGAAAGTAGCCTATTGGGCCACTACCTGCAAAATAGGCAATCACCTCAGCTTCCACATATGCTGAGCAATTTTTTAAAAGAAGATTTCGATGTTTGAAAGATTGGAAAATTATTTAGTGTCAAAATAAGGGACTCAAAAATTACTTATAACCCTGGTGTAGTTTGTCCTTTAGTCAGTAAGTATAGTGCACCCCCAAGAGCTGTTCCCGTATTAACCATCAACGTAAAGGATATTCGTTGACGACTTCCTGACTTGTGCAATCACACCACAGCGGGCATGCGTTTCTGGAGCCTGTCCAGCTTTACAGTATGCTGCAGCGCTGGGAAACCTGCAGCTCGCACTATTCCTATCCTATAACCTCATATGCTATATAAAGGCACCGTCCACTCAAAATTAATTCTATAAGATTTTGATTTCTAACAGTTGCGGGGCCCGCAACTATATTACTGCTCAACTCGCGCTCTCTGAAGTTGCTTCCAAAGCGAGAAAATCGCTTAGAAAAT